ACGGAAGACCCTTACATCCATCTGGAAAACTTCTTGCTATATTGTGATACCTTTAAGATGAATGGGGTGTCTCGGGATGCTATTTTGCTCAGGTTGTTCACATGTTCACTTAAAGATGAAGCAAGAGGATGGTTGCAATCGTTACCTCAAGGAAGCATCACTCACTGGGACGACTTGGCAACCAAATTTTTGGACAAATTTTTCTCATCTTCGAAAATGGCAAAGCTCAAGGCGGATATCACTTCTTTTGAACAAAAAGGAAGTGAATCTCTATATGAAGCATGAGAAAGATTCAAAGGACTACTCAGGAAGTGTCCCCAACATGGCATTGAAGCATGGGAACAAGCGAGAACTTTCTCCAAGGGATGACGCCCAACACAAGGACATTGGTGAATGCTGCATCAGGAGGGTCCTTAAAAACAAAAACTCCAGAGGAAGCTTTAGAATTGCTAGAATCTCTAGCCTCTCAAGAGTACGATAATGCTCCAGTACCACAGAGAAGAGCGGGGATAATGAAGCTTGATGGTTGTGATGCCATCTTGGCTCAGAATGAGCAGATTTTACAATCCAATAAGAAACAGCAACAACAGCTAGATGCTCTCGCAAAACAATTTTCTGAATTTCAAGTTTCTTCTGTTAATACTCCTGCTATCATTTGTGATATTTGTGCAGGTACTCATGCTACTGAAGACTGCCAGGCACCCGAAACTGCAGATGTTAATGGAATTTGGCATGATCAAAAAGCTCCATATAATCCAGGGAGGAACCAATACGGCAATAATCAAAATCAAGGGTGGAGAAATAAAAATCAAAATCAACACCCAGGATTTAGTTACAGTTCGAACCATCAGCTGAATCCTCCTATGCCAGTGCAACAGCAACCTCCACAACAATCAGAATGGGAAAAGGCCTTTGCACAACTATCCAAGACCACATCAGACTACATTCAAAGTTCCAATAATTTCAGAGAGGACACTTCAACCTTTATGCAAGAGACAAGGGCCTCATTCCGGAATCAAGAAGCTTCTATCCGGAATCTTGAAACTCAGATTGGCCAGCTATCAAAGCAGTTCACTGAAAGAGTTCAAGGAACTTTTCCAGGTAACACTATTCCAAATCCAAGTAGGGAACACTGCAATGCGATTACTACTATGAGTGAGAAAGCCATTGAACCTGTGGTAAAGCCTTCAGTTGAGAAAAAGAAAGATGATGAACTTGCAACTGAAAAGGAAAAAGAAAAGGAAGTTGCCAAAGAATTTGCTGCAGAGAAAACTGTTCCTGAAAAGAAAGAGTTCAAATGGGAGAAAAAGAAAGCTCAAGAAAGGCAAGAAAAGCCATTGGAGCTCTCACCTTATGCAAAGATTCCATATCCGCAGAGGTTCAGAGAGGAAATCAAAAAGCAGCAGTATTCCAAGTTCCTTGACATTTTCAAGAAGCTGCAAATCAATATCCCGTTTACTGAAGCCTTGGAGAACATGCCCAATTACGCAAAGTTCATGAAAGATCTTCTATCACGAAAGCGTAAGCTACAAGAATGTGAGACGGTGACGCTGACAGAGGAATGCAGTGCCATTATCCAGAAAAAGTTGCCTCCAAAGCTTAAAGATCCAGGAAGATTCAGCATTCCATGCAACATAGGCAATATGGAAGTGAAAAATGTTCTATGTGATCTCGGTGCCAGCATCAACGTGATGCCACTATTTATGATGAAGAAACTGGGGATCACTGAAGTAAGGCCAACCAAGACAATAGTGCAACTGGCTGACCGCTCTACAAAGCAAGCTTATGGCATTATTGAGGACATACTGGTAAAGGTTGACAAATTCATCATTCCTGTTGATTTTGTCATCCTTGATATAGAGGAAAATTCTACTATTCCTATGATCTTCGGAAGACCTTTCTTGGCAACCTTAGGAGCGCTGATTGATGTACCGAAAGGCGAGTTGATCTTACGGGTAGACGGGGAGCAAGCAATTTTCAAGTTCTTTGATAAAGAAGTCCCTTCACCTATAATTCAACTGCAAGATCAAGTCTACTATATTAGTGAAAAGAAAGGAGAAGAAGAGCACAAAGAGAATTCTTCTCAAGAAAGTAAGCCAAAGGTTAAAATGGAGAAGCTCAGGAGCAAGGGAAAGCACGTAAACACCAAATTCAAAGCTATTGAGCCTACTGCATCTCACTCATATGCACAAGAGTACTATGGGAGGACACCATTTCTGAATGATGGAGCTTGGTCATCACCAAGCCCATGCTTTGAGCCACCATGAACGTAAAAGAGGTACGTCAGGCTCGTGACGTAAAACAAGCGCTTGTGGGAAGCAACCCAGCTATATTTTTATTTTCCAACATTTTAGTATTTAGTAATTTAATTTTAGTTTAGCTTATTTTAATTATTCTTAGCATAGTTTATTTTAGTCATATCATAAAAATCAAAAAAAATAAAAACATTGAGGTTAATGATCAAATTCTGTTGAGATGGACTTTCAGGTGTAAGTGGGATTAAAGGATACACAGGTACGCAACTCTTATTCATTTATATGTTTTGTGTATGATACTGAGCAGAATTATTGAGGTGGAAGAATACACAGTAGAGATGAATGCAAGGAATAGGAAAATATGGAGAAATTTTTTTTTAAGTATTGAGAGCTTAAGCCCTTAAAGGAGGCTTAAGCCCCCAAAAGTGAAATTTCTCTCGGCCCTAGCGCGCTTAAGCTCTCCAAATCGCGCTTAAGCGCGCTCCACGATTGAAAAAACCCATACAAAGAGCGCGCTTAAGCCCCCAAGGGGAAGCTTAAGCGCGATAAACAATAAAAAGTGACCATAACCCACTGCCTCTCCGCGCTTAAGCGCGAGAGAGGAAGCTTAAGCGCGCTAAATAAATTTTTATCCATTTCTCACTGCCTCAGCGCGCTTAAGCTCGAATCACTGCGCTTAAGCGCGCTCATCTTTGACATTATGCATACTGTTAAAGTATTTCAGTTCCATATACTCATTATTATTTTCAGATGCATCTGAATATAAATCTGGGAATTATTATGTGGAAATTGCACTAACTTTGCAAACATGCTGGATACTCGAATACTAATGCTGATATGGTTGCAGACACTACTCAGGATGCTGATAGAAATGATATTGCACCCACTACTGAAATTGATGAGGATTGACCATTGTCTCAATGTTTAGATTTTTTTTCTTTTGTTGATTTTAGTGCATGTTGACATGAGATGTATATTGAGACTGATCCTGACATGACTGATTTTTTTGGATATATGACATGCTGACGTAGTTTCTTTATTTGTGACATGTGTGCAGAGTACAGTATCATTTTTTTCTGATATCTTGCTTAGGATTCTTTTTAGATTTAAATTTATTGCTGAGGACAGCAAGATTTAAATCTGGGAATGGGTACCCACGCAATTTATCAGACCATAAACTTCACATGGTCGGAAGGAGAAACTCATGATTACACGGAGTACACAGAAATATCCAAATTACAAATGCAGTTTTTCAGGGGAGTTTCTTAATATTATTTTCATATTATAGTTCATTATTTTTACATTATTTAGTATTAGTTTATTTTAGAATTATTTTGATTACATATTAGTTTATTTTAAGGTCTTCATATATATTAGTTAGTTTACTATTTAAGTTTTTCTTTTTAAATTAGTTTTAAGACCCCTTCCATCTTAGTCAATAAATAATTAGTGGATCTTAAGAGATTTTCCATTGTGCTTGATATGGATGCATAATGAATAATTACATGAAATTGGTTGATAGTTGATATCAAGAGTATAATGATGTAAATAAATTTTATTTTCGTACATAAATGAGCGTCAGTCAAGCATGCTTCATAGTTCACTGGAATAAGAGAAGAATAACTAGAGTAATCAAAGAGAGAGTGGAAAATAAGTCTCACATCCTTAGCCGTAAGCTTTTGAGCCTAAACAGAATTTTTTTTGTGGTGTGAACTTTACTGTTGAATCACTCTAGAACTTGTTTTGTTTCTCTTTGAAATGGTCTGTAGTATACAATTGTTAAAATGATAGAGGCAGTTCTTTTTAAAAGCTAGATAGCCAAATAGCCACCCTGAAGGTTTATTCTTAGATTAAGCCCTTTTGAGCCGAGGCCTATTTGTTCATTGACAGTACATTATGAATAGCCATTCCATACACATCCTCACCTGAACTGATTAATTTTCAAAATTAAATGAGGAACTGGATAGGATTGAAACAAAAAGAGAAAGTCAAACTCTAAGTGTATGAGAGAAAAAGGTGAAAAGAGGGAAATTGCCACAAAGTGGTGGAAAAAGGAAATGAAAAGAAAAAGGTTGAACTGTTGAAAAACAGAAAAAGAAAAACAAAAGGAAGAAGGAAAAGAAATAAAAGACTTATATTATATGAATAAGTGGAAGAAGAAAAGAGAAGGAAAATAAGAGAAGTCTGTTTACTATATGTTAAACTAGTTCCTCTTTGAAGTTGAATTTTGATCAGTTATCTTAAGCCACTTACCCATATGATTCCTTTCCTTTTACCTAAGCCACGTTATAACCTTAACAAAGACCTCTTGATTGACTTTGTATACTAGTAAGACTGTGGAGAGTGAGAATATAAACAAGCTTATGGTAGTGTTAATTCAGTAAAGTAAGAGTGAAACACATACCCTTAAACACTGAGTGTGAGTGATTAAATAAAAATCCAGTGAGAGGGTGTTGTGGAAATTAAATTGTACTACTCTTTCTTTTAAGAACGCATGTTAAGATTTTATGACTGGTGAATTATGACTGTTTGCTTGAAATTGATGTGTCATTGAATTTTAATAAGTCTGAATACTTTGATATCTTATCATTGATCAGTTTTCTGTCTGTTATTCATTAAGCATGACTAGCCGTCTCCAAACTTTCCCATAGTTTTATTCTAATTAATTGCTGAGGACAGCAATGTTCAAATCTGGGAATTGTTTGATAAACCTTTAGTTTATCTTGTTTAATGGACTAAGATAATATGAATTATCTAGTTGAACAAGTCAAAAATCAGGGTTTTAAAATGATAATCATGAACATTATCTGATTGTTGGAACTAATTAATATATTTGTTATTTTTAAAGGGATTTGATAACAAATGATTCAAATATGAAGATTTAGATAAAGAGAGATCAAATCAGAAAAGAAGATGAATCAAGGTGAAAACAATAAGATTGAAGATCTTATCAAGTTGTTAGAAGTGGGAGCTTAAGCCCCCATTCAGAAGCTTAAGCTCCCTAAAAACGCAAATAGCTACTGCCTCTGGGCGCTTAAGCCCCCAACTCAGGGCTTAAGCACGCCACAAGAAGAAAATGTTGTCGCAAGGAGCGCGCTTAAGCGCCCTCCAGAGCGCTTCAGCGCGCAACGCGATTCAGAAATCACCGTCCTAGGGCGCTTAAGCGCGCTACAACAAGCTTAAGCGCCCAGTCAGATCCAACTTAGGCCCATTCAATGTGTTATATTGGGATACAAACTCTTGGCCAATAAAAGGACCATTGGAGACCATAAATACATAACTTTTACATTGCTAAACGACTCTTGGGTGCTCGGAGGCTGAAGGAACGCGGAGGAACATCAGATTCATGTTCGTGAGCGGCGGAGACGGATCAACGTCAAGTGTTCACTGGAGATATTGAAGATCCACCAATCACTTATAGAGTTTGGGGGAGCTTTTCTATTTTCTTTTGTTCTTGATTTTGCCATGTCCAGCTAGTTCTTTAAGTAGTTAGGGTTAGATGGAGTTTAGTCGATTTATTATGTTTTGAACAATTCGCTGTGTTAATTTTCCTTTATATCATGAATGAAGTTATCTGTTTTTAATGCTTTATATAGGCTTGAATCTTATATAATGATCATCGGTGAATGCATGACAATAGGAATGTTGGTGTGTGATCCATATCTGATAACTTCATCGTAAACGTTATGATTCTAGGGATAGACATAGGGTTTGCGTAATCTTTAAGATTCTTGAATTTAATGCTTGCATGCGTGGGGAATAACCGGGGAACTGGGGTTCTTCCAATTTTGTAAAGGTTTTAGAGTAACAAGGGATTGAGCTCTAATAACATGCGAAAGAATTGATTAGATTGATACTAAGGACAATTAACATTAAGAAGGAATTCAAACGTAATAAGGAGATTGAATGAAATCGAACCCCTAGCTACGTTTTTATTTTATCAACTTATTCAAATCCTTAATTTCTTGTTTTTAATTCTTGCGAGTAGTTAGCTTTAATATTTAATAACTTCAATTTTACAATCCAAATCCTGTTTCCAAATACACTTTTGATTGTCCAACTTAAGTTGCGATAGTGAATTGGTGCTTGAACCGTAATCCTCGTGGGAACGATCTCTTACTTAATCATTATATTACTTGTACGATCGGTGCACTTGCCGTGAGTAGCAACATCAACTCGCCTCAAATAGATAATTAAGATTGAGTTAACTCAAAACAAAACAAAACAACCTGACTTTGCATTTACAAAGGGAAAAGAAGTGAAACTGCACTGTCTATATCCCAAAAATTTAACAATGGTATTGACCAATTCTAGAACTTTTTCCATTTCCTCCATAGCCACGACGGTTTTTTCATGGAGTACTGGTCCAATAAAAAAAATTTAAAAACAAAATGGAAAGAAGAGAAAGAGAAAAAGTAATTTTGTAAATAATTAAAACGAACTGGGATAATATAAGAAAAGAACATTTGGAAATGTATAATGTTAAAGTAAGGAAGTAATATATAAAAACGATTTACATGAGTATATAACATCTTATGCTATTTTATATGGTATTAAAGTTTTTATGATTAACTGGTCATAAATTTAATTAATATTATAAAATTTCTTAACATAAATAAAAGGAGATAGATACATGTTAAAGAAATATAATATAAAATCATTAATACAAAAATAATGCTTTAGAGCCTTTATTTTTAAGTTTTAGGATAATATTGAATCACTCGGGACGAGGAATAAATAAGTGCATAGACTTTTGTCAAAGTACACACAGCCAAAAACAAAACTATAATTCATTACTCTATTTTGCAACTTGCAATTGAAGGAAGCTAGCTAGAATCAATAAAAAGAAGGTTCCAAACAACCAAAACAAGATCTCTGTAAAAATGATTAATTTACATCATTAAAGAGTAATTGCTGATTACTTTCTAATTTGATTTAATAGAAATGAAAAAAAAAAAAAAAAAAATTGGGCCAGAAGAAGAGAAGATGACGTGTAAAGAGCGATGAAAGACATTCTAACATGCACCCAAATGGTGTGTAGCGGTCGAAACAAATGGAAACCGTAAGCAATGAGAGTCTGAGACACTGACTACAAATCATGTTCTCACCTTCCAAAACGTGGTGTGGAGTGTGGACCTTCTTCTCCAACAGGAAAATGAAAAGATGAAGACCCAAAAAGAAAATGACCTCTTATTTTTTATAAAGCAATTCATAATAAAATTATCATTAGAATAGAAACTGAAAAGCATGGATAGAGAAAGAGAGAGGAGTGTGACTTGGTTCAATATGGACAGCCCAAGAAAATTTTAAGTGGGTCCATGGATCCCACAAAATGGGCTATTGCAGAAGAAGAAAAAAATTTAGGCGACTGACTCACAGCATCTAAAGTAGCATCGAATTCCACAATTTGTCGTCACCGAATGGAAGAGATTATGAAGACGACTAGTCGTCACAGCATCTATAGACTTGCCCACATTTTATGGGACCAAGACAGCAGTATAATTAGGTAAATCCCAGAATGAAAGTGCAAATCATGAAGTGCTGCATAAGTAGCTTACATAACTTTTTTTTTTTAAACAGTGGCATGAGTTTGAACGTGCAATTTCCTATAAATTACCTCAATCTTTGATCATCAACCCTCTCCTAATAAGTTTAACTTATATTACATTTGTTCATTTATTAAATAAACTTTATTTTTCTACGTAAAATATAAAATACATTAAGTAGAATTTAGATAAACATTTAAGAAAGCCTTATAAGCAATAATTATGATCTTTCAAAATTTTGATTGATTTAGGGAAGCGTTTAACATCGAGGTTGCAAGCAATGTAATGTTTGAAAGAATTCATCGTTATACATCATGGAATGAGTTATGAAATAAAAAGGAAGATGGGTTGGACAAATTGGTT